ATTGGCGTTTCTGTGACTTGGCTAAACGATTATTCTCATTCAGTAGATATAGATGGTTTCAATTTTATCCACAAACATTGCCCAAATAGAACTGGTGGTGGTGTTGGATTATATACCACAGAAACTCTCGATTTTAAAATTCGCGCTGACTTGAGCTTTGATGATATTGATGTTGCGAAATCTTTGTTTATTGAAATATCAAGACCCCATGGGAAAAATATTGTCGGCGGTGTTATTTACTGGCCATCTAATCAGAGAGTTGGTGACTTTGTGTCAAAACACAATGAACTGTTGGAGAAAATCTCTAGAGAGAACAAAATATGGTTTATTATGGGTTATTTCAATTTGAATTTAAATAACTTTCAACATCACCAAAACACTGGCGAATTGATTGATGGTTTGCACTCGAATATGCTTTTTCCCTTTACCGCGAACCTCTAACCGCGGTTTGCGGTTACCCGTTTGAGGTTCGACGTTCGAACATAATTCGATTTAGATTGGCGGTGGATTAAAGAAGTGGATTCTGGTTTATTTTTCCATTTAAAAATAGAAGAAATATCAATCAGTGAAAATAAAAGAAATTTACGATAACACTGGGTTATCTAGCAGCAAAGAGCTGTAAATTCTTACATTAGTTCTTCTTGCACTGAATTTACGGCCGCCATTTTGAATCAACAGCCATGAATGTAGCCTGCGAAGCGCAGACGCATTTCCGGTCGTCGCTTCTCTCCCTCCGAAAAATAGCGTCTGCGAACCCGAGCGACAAAACGATTTCCGTGACGTAAAACATTTTTAGCCAATCGCGGTTTAGCTCTTAAAATCAAGGAACTAACTCGCGAGACTTCTCGCAGGATCGTGCGCGATGGATATGTTTTCAAGTCGAAATTGAAAGGACGACGTGGCTTGTGTATAGCCGTCCTTTTTTCTCAGAACGACGCGTTTACGAAAGTTAATTTGCCAGGATTGTGGGACTGATTGACGAAATAAGTATCAAGAGGATTCATATCGAAGAAAAGATTAGAGGACATTTTTCATCTATTTGCCTACGGAGTCAATGATTTATCAGACGTAGTTGTTTTGATCATATTCGAAACGATAACTGTCCTAATGACAGTAGACGCATCATGCCGTTTGTTGCTTCTGTTCCTTTCTGGTTCCTGGCAGGAAAGTATGCCTTGGAGAACTCTTCGATAGTTTGTCGTGTGCCGTTTTAGATATTTTTTAGTAGATATCCTTTATCTTTGAAAGGTAGGACATGTGGTAATTGATTTCCCATGCGTGGTTGCTTCTTGGTTCAGATAGAACTTTGATCAGATCGAAAGCATTTTATATTTGCTCCGGTATATTTCTTTAAATACATGTTCTTTTCAAGGTTCTCATTTCCATAGTTTTTTGTGAGATGAGTAGAAGCGTCGTAGCTGAAATGTCATTTTGACTATGATCTATTTACTGCTGTAACTATTTATTTCACGCTGGGTCTGGCCCAGGTTTATAATATTTCAGATCATTGTGTTGTGGCGATACTAGAATTATTAACGAGCGATTGTTAGAGATTTCTGAATCAGTCAAGGATGTGTCTGTGTAATTGATTCACCACCTTTTGTCAGCGCTGGTTAAATTGAAATAAATAAGTCTGAGCGCGATGTCATTAAGCTATGTTGCTTTCCTTTCGCTGTAGCGATTTTTTTGTCCAGGTTTTGTTTATGTCACGTACTACCGTATTTTATAAAGCGAAACCAAAGGCCCACATCACATACATAGCTTAAGAAGCAGTTGCTTCATAAAGAAGTCAGCATTCAACGTCGCAGGAAACCTTGTTATGGTCGTGAAATTCACGTTCCAAAGCGTATTTGGTAATTCCCTCCAAAATCCAAGACACTTCAGCGCGCGAGGTCGCGAGGAGTCACTCGAGCTGTATTCTATCCTTTGATCTGATTGACCTACATCAAAACAAAAGGTTTTACGTCACGGAAATCGTTTTGTCGCTCGGGTTCGCACACGCTATTTTTCGGAGGGAGAGAAGCGACGACCGGAAATGCGTCTGCGCTTCGCAGGCTACCATGAATTTAGCCTGCGATCATGCCCTCTCCCTCTATCTCTGTAATCTGTTTTCAGGAGGAGGGCATGATACATTTCTTTCACAGATCACATGCAAAAATGCCAGAATCTGGACTTTTTTCTGATTGGATAAGAAACAATACGGACGATTTGCGCCGTTCCGATTGGCCAAAACGCCGCCATCCGTTAGTTGTTGTTGATTTCAGTCTGCATTTTTGCTTGCGTAATATTTTAATACACACGCGAGTTCGTTATGAAATTTCTGCCGGCTCAGTTTTCTTGCCATTTTGAAAAATGTCTCAATAGAAATTTCATCCATTGAAATATTTTCCATTTCATCTTATACTAAAAGTTGCAGTCAAAAATTCACCGACCATTTGAAGGCAATTTGATACTGGCTACAAGTTACGGAAGCGACAAACGGGTTCACTTTTCAAATAATTAATTCATGAATGGAATCTTGACCAGGTTTGACTGTAATTCCTGTCATTCCTCCTTCAGAAACCTACGAATTACTCTGAGCGATCTTCGCCTTCACAACACTTTTTAGTTCGTGAAATATGGTGCTTCAGCCTAATGTTTTTCTCCGAGCTTTCGGCACAGAACGAAGTCAACGAGCTTTTACTAGTAAATTTTTATTATTTGTAGCTGTTAAATAAAGGTACAGCAGCTCCAACTAGCAGTATTTCATCACAAAAAAAAAAAACATTTAAAAAATTATTCTTAGTAAGCGCCATCTGACCGTACTTAAACAATTCTTTTCCCTAAACTTTATTTCCAATCGAAAGAGACATTATTATTCCCGCCAAAATTTTATTCCCTTCTGGCAAACGCTGATTGGCTAATAACATGACAGGTCAAGCAGACGTTAGATTATGTAAATTAGGGGGCGGTTGATAGCTTGTTAAATAAATGTATCAGGCGTTTTTTTGTTTTCCCTCTCGAGCCAAGGAAGCAACGAAGCAAAAAAAATAACGCCTGATCTCAGGTTACCATGAATGGCACTTGTTTTCAAGATCCAATAGAATTTATCAAATTTAGCATTTCGCACGAATTTGTGTCTCTGTTAATGGATAAAGACTTGTTCTACAAGATTTTTGTATCATTACGTGAGATAAAACAAGAATTATACGCTAAAAGCTTTCAGGTAAATGACCTACATGAAAACCCTCCTCCCCACGCGGAAAACGCACGTCGTAAACCTCAAACGTGACGCGAAAGACTTGTCACGCGACCTCCAGCGGTTAGAGGTTCGCGATAAACTCGGATCAAAAACTCTCTATTAACACGTCCATCCCGAATAACTTCTCACACCGGAACATTGCTTGATAACATTTTCGCCAAAAATTTTTTGATCACTCGAGAAGGAGAGAAGTGGTTAATTGATTACTGATATCTCTGATCGCTTACCTGTTTTTTCGATTCATTCTAATAATGATCCATGACTCTTCCAACGTAACAGTCACGCTCATGACCCAGTAGTCGCTCGAGACAATAATAAAGAAAACTTAGCGAGTTTTCTCGAAACGCTAAAAGAAATTACCTGGTCCTCCCTTGATGGTTATCATGACCCCCAAAAACGCGTACAACAGCTTTATAAAGAAGTATTCTGAGAGCTATATTATGTGCCTCCCTGTAAAAACATTTCCTAGAAAGCAGTCCCGTTTAAATAAGCCGTTGTTATCCAATTTCCTTATCAACTGTATTAAGAAGAAAATTAGGCTTTATATTATAAAAAAATATCTGCGGAATCCAACAATGGATCGTCAATAAATTTACAAAAGCTATACAAACAATTCGCGCCAAATTATTTGTTTAGAGTAGTTCTTGTTAACATTGTTTTATTTCCATTGTTTTTTGACTTTATAAATATTTTTTTAGCACTTTTTACATTTTCACATATTTTATCACATTTTAGCGTTCACCACATTTTTATCTATTATAACTTGTTTTTAACTTATTTATGCTAATTTAGAGAACTTTTATACACTTGAAAATGACCTCGGAGAGGTCGAAACGTCGTGATTTTTTATCGCTAATATTTATCTCAAAAAAATTTAAATATAACATAACAGGATCAAACACCCCAACTGGCAGGAGGAATCCAGTTGGCTATTTCAAGCGTGGCCGAGTATTAGTGGAAGCAAGGGACGCATGACAGTGACACTGCTCCCTGGGGACTACCAATGTGGCCCGGGTTCAAATCCCGGCTTTGACGCCATATGTGGGAAGAGTTTGTTGTTGGTTCTCTCCTTTGCTCCGCCGAGAGGTTTTTCGCCGGGTACTCCGGTTTTCTCCTTTCTTCAAAAACCAACATTTCCAAATTCCAATTTGACCAGGAATCAGGTAGACAAGGAACCACTTTGTGGATATGCTACCTCTAAATCATTATAAATATCATTTTAACTCCTGATAATCGAGAACAAATCCAGCAAGTGGCCATTGGCGAACCCGGGACTGCCTGATTTTGAGTCTGAGGAGCTAACTACTCGGCCACACCGCCTCCTTTAAAAGGTTCTACTTTTGGTACCTTTTCTGTATCTGAGCTCGTCATACAAAAATTGTCATTCAGCAAAACGAGGTCAGTTTACAAAAACTATTGTCTACAAAAATAAAATATTAAGCATAGAACTAATGCCCATTGGGCTGACCCAACGGAACTGGGAGTTGAGATCGTGGTGAGATGAGCGTGATGTGTAGAGGACATAAAAAAAATAAAATAAACGATAACCAAGCAACTTAAAGCAAAGCAATTGTTCTTTTCACCGCGTTGCTTACTATCTTGCCGGAATTTTAATGATTATCATGATGTATGGGTGTGGTTATTGCTATTGTTATTCGTCTTAAAATATACCACGTTTTTGCTTGGAAACTCTTACCGCTATATTTTTTACTTCGAAAATTAATCAATAGGACTTTTACTTTATACTTTAAATTGTGTTATGTCTTTTACAGGTACAGAGACAGATTTCTTTGCCGAGATTCGAGGCTGCCGGTGCTTGGCCAATTATCACCGTAGCCATATGTTTCAGGAATGTCAAAAATGCGGACAAGGGCTGGAATGCAAGGATGATTATGCAACCTTGAAACCCGGATATTGGTGGAACTGGAGAAACGAGTCTTTTAAGGATCGTTACCAGAATTTCATAAAAAATCTTTTGACATCTACACAAGCATTAGGGGAGGCTGATGTACAATATCCTCACCCAATACCCACGCCCTACAGATGTCCACTGGAAGACTCCTGTGAAGGTGGGTTGGATTCTCCTTGCAAGATTGGTTACAAAGGCCCACTTTGCAGTGTCTGCAGTTCTGGCTATTACAAACAGTTACACACATGCCAAAGATGTCCAACCAAGACGTGGATAGCTGGGCAGTTGGTTATAATTGTTGTGATCATCATGATAATCATTGCATTATCAGTATGGAAAAGTAAAACAAAATACGGAAAAAATGAGGGACAACGATCAGTGATAGACACCTTTTTGTCCAAGATCAAAATCGCTATTGGCTTTTATCAGGTTACTTACGGTTTATTGGAAGCCTTCTCGTACGTATCATGGCCAGATTCACTTCAATTAGTCAGCAGGTATTCAGCCATACTACAGTTGAACATTCTTCAAATAGCGCCAGTTCATTGCCTTTCTGATGGACTGCGTGTCGACGCTTTCGGAAACCTGATTACCATTATGGCAATAAATGCTTGTTTTGTTGGCTTTGCAGGGATGGTGTATATTTTACGTAAAAATATCATTTTGAGAAATCAACGCCTTAAAGCCGATGAAAAGTCGAGTAAAGTTATCGCGCTAAAAGAAGCAGTTTATAGAAATCTGTTCTTTGTCCTGTACGTGACTTACCTGAACACATGCTCAAATACCGCCTCAGTTCTCCCAATTTCTTGCCGAAGTCTTTGCCAAGACAAAGAAGAAGAGACATGTTCAAAATATCTAAAAGCAGATTACAGCGTACAGTGTAGTAATTCAAGGTTCAACTATCTGGTACTAACTGCCTACATTTCAGTTGTCTACATCATCGCTTTGCCTATTGCAAGTTTTGTCGCCCTTTGGAGGCATCAAACATTAGAAAACTCCGCGGAAGACGAAACTAACGAAATAGTAAATGGGTTGCGCTTTCTCTTCGAGAACTACAAACCTCGTTCCTGGTATTGGGAGCTGATTGAGATGTCTCGCAAAGTTATCGTTACATCCGGTCTTGTCCTCTTGGGAAGCGGAACCAGGTCATACATTGGTTTGACATGGGTCGTTGGAGGAATGTATGGGGTTCTTTTCGCCTGGGTCCAGCCCATAAAAGACGGATTTGAGAACTGCCTAATGGTGACATCTCTTGCACTGACCGTTGTTAACTTGGGAATTGGAGCTGTGAGTAGGATTCCGGAAGAAAACATACCCATCTCAAACGACGCCTATATGGATGGGGTTATTTTCAACTTAATGGTTCTTGTAGCAAACGCCTTGGTCCTGGGGCTTCTGTTATGTAAGATGTTGTTTCCATTATTATTTTTTTCCGCTTTTACTGTACCAGTCGTTTGTACGTAGTGGCACTGAATTAAACACTGAGGACTTCACTAATAGCCTTTAAAACTGGCACTTAACCTTTGCTTTGCCTGGAATAAAACAAACTAAGTTAGTAATATTCAAATACTTTGAGTTGTCAGTTGTTTACATCATAAAACAACTTCAGTTGGGAATTTTTTGTTACCGCAGTGAAAAGGCAGTTATAGGTTATAGGCAATTTACAAAGATTTAAGAAATTCACACCTGAAATATATGTTTTCTTTCTACTTTACTGCTAGTTAACTACGCAGCACATGTATATGGCTATGTGAATGAATGGCGCAAAAATCCTCAGTGGTCCTTTTCTTGCTGTTTGGCTCTAGTCCTTCCCCTAATTGCTTTACCGGGAGAAATTAGTAGTTTGTCAAAAACGAACATCCTACGCACCCAGCTTGATTCGGGGCAGATGGAGTTGGGCACTCTAACAGATGCCGTGAAAAATTGTGGCGTGATTGAAGTCACTCTTGGAGAAGATGAAGACAAAGAGGAAGATGAAGAAGAAGGCACCGGTGGAACTCAAGAACAGCAAGATAATCCCTCTGGGAATCAGTGCAATAAAGAAAGAAAGGACCAAGGGGTACAAACAGCGATCTTGTCGGTCCTCATTATTGCGGATCACACGAACTATGATCGAGTGGAAGACACCTGCTTTTAATCAGAGTGAGTATACTGAGTAAATTATAGGCAGGGCATTTATCTAGGCAATTTGCTTAGAGAGAGGAGTAGGGTGATATTTCAAAAACCACCCAGCAGTGTCTGTTATGCATTAATTTTCTGAAGCAATCCTGCAATTGATTAGCAAGTAGTCTGGGAGAGGATCAATTCTAGGCTCTATACTCTCAGGAATCCGGACATCCTTTTGCTCGAACTATTTCATTACCTGTTTGCTGCACTATCTCAAACAAAAGAGAAGTGGATAAAATGTTTAATATTTTTCCCCTTTAAATTAATACTCGCGGCTCTAGATTTTGTTTTATCAACGCAAACTCACCAAGTGATCGTTGGATCGAGTAAGAAGTGATTAAAAGCAAATAAATGTCTGAAGAAAAATACACACCTTATCGCCCTACATTCAGAAGAACAAAAAAAAGCTAAAAGCATGACGTAGAGAGAGCAATAAATCATTGTACCGGTCTAATCTAATTATTAGTTATTTTAGCCTTTGAATTATTTTTTTCCCCGTGGTGAAAGAAATTAGTAAACATTAAACTCAGTGTTTGGTAGAATTCATAAAACGGGTTTCTCTATTCCAAAACACAAAAATATGATGTTTTGGCACTTTTTTGGAAACAAGCAACATTGTTCCAGTCAGCGCAAAAGCAGTTTTAAAATATGTTGCCATTTTGTTACAATTTCGCTGGCATTCAACTGGTAGAATAGAGAGGAACATACGAATGACATCATTCTTTGCTTTTAACGTAATCAACTACTGCTTATCAGCATCGATATTTACACGCTTAAAGAAAAATTTAGAAAGCTGTAATAAATTTTGTAGAATTCAGAGAAACAGGAATAAAAGTGTTAGAAAACGGAGGTGTAATGATTTTGGTTGGTTTTGTTGATAACTTTCACTTGTTTCTTCTTTTCTTTGAAAGTCTGTTATTATTCTTTGCAAGTGAAATAATGCATTTAATAGCGTTGTTTCGTTTCTTTTAGAAAACGCCCTTTTTGTTATTAAAGGGGTTAAAGAAAGAGTTAGGCAACACTCTTGCCATGGAATGAATTTGACATTCTCCTTCTCAAACTCATTAATAATTCATTAAGAAAATACAAAGGAAATTAATGTTTAATGAGTGTTTGGAAATCGGATGAAACACTGCTTAGTATTTGCATCCTTAATTTCTCCTTCTAAAATGATTTTGTTTGAGAAGAAATATCAAACATTCGACACAGTGTTTCATCACCAGATGAAACACTGCATCTCATGTTTGATATATTACTTACTGTTCTTATAGTTCGCTGTTGCTTAGCCTCGTACAGTGTTTAAATTTCTTTCATTCTGCGTTGCCATTGGATGGATAAAGAGATTAAGTAAAT